TTATATGAAACAAGTCTGCAACAACATATGGGCCCCATTTGGGAGGGCAAAGTAAATTCCTGTCCATTACACTTGGATTCATTTCAACAGAGACATCTATTTTCTTAGAATTAAAATCTTTTTTGTCTCCTGTTCTTGATTGGTTGACCCTCTAACGTATCTTAGTTTCTTGTATGATTCTCATGAGACCCTAATACAGAAAACAATGCTGTTTGTTTGATTACTAAAGCTTTGAGGCTTGCTGAGAATAAATACTTCTTGCTTATCGCAAAATGGTTTTTTCATCATGTGGGCATGTTAGATAAGATATACTGAAGTAAACAGTATTTGAGAATAGAGCTCAGTGATTAGAATAAAGTTGTCTGGAAAGTGCTTCCTTTTAAAAGAATATGTCAAGTTCTTGGCTTTATATGTAAATGGTAAGTTGAAATTGCTAATATCCATGGTAAAAATGAATCTTTTGTCCAACATATAAATTTTATTACAATATATTCTTTTAATTGTTCTATTTTATCATTAGTTATTGTTCTTAGAATGTGTAAGTGGTATAATAGTTACTGGCTTTGAATAAGGGACTATTGGGCTAAGTTTAGTAAGTTTTACTTTATAAAAGTCCAAAAACACAGGTGTTGTGATACCAGTACCAGCAAAATGAAACTAAAGCATTTACTTTAAGTGAAAGTTTTTATCTTAATAAGGAAAGAAAAATTGTATACTAAGGTCTTTATTCTGAATTTTTTCTACATCTCATCTTGATTATCATAGATGTTATTATAGGCACAACACTTCGGCCAAGTACCATCTTCAGGTGTCCATTGTTTTGTTTGTTTTTTTTTTCTGTTTTTTGTTCTGTCACAAATTTTATTATAGTATATTGTTATAAGTGTTCTATTTTATTATTAGTTATTGTTGTTTATTGCTTATTGTGTCTAATTTGTTAGTTAAAGTTTATCATAGGTTTATATGTATTGAAAAAACAGGATATAATAAAATTTGTTATGGGGAGTGGTTCCATTTCAGGCATCTAGTTGGGGTCTTGGAACATATATCCTCATGGATAAGAGTGTGGTACTGTATTTTATTACTAATTTTAATCCATCTTATTATTAAAACAACAATCAGGGTTGACATAACCTTTGACCACTAAAGCAAACACTTTAAAAATGGATAAAAATGATAGTTGAACTCCTATCACATACTACTGGAGTTTTTCTTTCATAGATAACTTCTTAATCTTTTTAACATGGAAATGTTAATGTTTCTGACAAGAAGCAACAATAATATTTAATAATAGTTGTTAACTATGTTGACTCTTGTGGTTTTACCTAGGATTGAACTCACCATCCTTGGCTAACAAATTCCTAAAGATTCCCACCCCTCAGCTTAATGGAGAAGTGTTCTAAGAAACGGCAGTAGTTTGTCACACTTCCTGTCAAAGTGGATTTAACATTTAGGCATTATTTAAGTTTATTGAAATTTCTTCTCAGGGTAAAATATTCTATTGTTTGATGAAGTGCTGTCACTCAGTTTATTGATCAAGATCTTGTTTTAACAATAGTGATAAAATAATAATAGTAATAATGAAATGTGTATCCACAAAATATGGTGTGATAAAAGTAATGAAGATGGAGTGAAACTATTTATAAATAATGGTTATAATGAAGAGTGTATGAATCCAGACTGTTAATAAAAATACAATAAGATGGAATGATAGAATAATAATGAAAACAAAAGAATCAAATGACAATTACAAAAAGACTTCAAAGCTGGAATTAATTCCAAATATTTCAAGATTCTCTTATTTTCTGTCATATTTTTGTATTTCTTTTTTCAGAAAATGAGTCCTGTAGCCTTGGTTGGCAACCAATCAAATGTATAAAGAAATGGCAACCTACTGTGGGAAAATCTTTTGCCTAGTCAGTCATGAATTGAAAGAGACATGATTGCTCAAGTGTGTATAGTGTATGGCATTTAACTGTGTCAGAAAATTCTTTGCTTCCATTCAGATAATTTTGTTAAATCTGGGCTAAGCTGATTGACCAAAACCCCTTTTAGACCCTAAAGAGGCACTGGTAAATGTTATCATTTGTAAATTACTTCCTCCAGTGACTTTTTCCTGTATACATAGAAGCTTGTTCACATTTAATTGAACAATGACTCTAATATGACATTGTCTGTTATGTGTATTCTACAGGCCTAAATTTAGCAAGAGAACCTTTCTCAGAAGGGATCAAGTGGCTTGCCTATTTGTTAATCTAAAGAAAGATATCAAAAGACAAAATATTAGTTCTTTCTTGTTCATATTTTAAGAGGATAAATATATTGAAAAATAATAACCCCATCAATATGGTGTGTATTTTAATAGCACCAGATCCTAACACCCACTAACTTACAGGGATCTTTGACTGAAGAAAACACTAAGGAGTGAATCTAGAGTAGAACACCTCAAATAGGTAGTCAACTGCATCATGTTTAAAGGGGAGGTGGCAGGAAGTGAAGATTATGGGGATAAGGAGGATAGATATTGATTAACCCTTAACTTGAAGAGGTTAAGATTATAACATTCAGGAAAGCATCCACAGAGGAGTCTTTTTTCTCAAAATAGCAAGTCTTTGGGGAAATGTTGTCTGGGTGAAACTTTCTCCTTACATTTGGAACAAAGAGGAAATGAGAGTGATTTGACTCCATGAAAGTAGCATGGCATATTCTAGATGTAAAGGTCTGAACTGGTGAGAGTAAAGAATGAAGCTAACCTGAACATTTGTCATGAAAATAGACTTGTGATATAATTGTGAAGAAGCAGCTGCAAAGGGAAGAATAAGTTATCCCTCAGAAGACTGTGTAATTAATTTTTAACTCTATCTAGGCTGGAAAATGAAGATTAAGCAGCTCCAACCCAGATATGTCAGCAATAGTTCATTTTTGGTCTAATCAGATTAATATAAAGATAAAGCATAGCAGGAGCCAGATACTGTAGGAAATTCTTGTCAACTAGGTTTTTTTTTATATTATCTGAATGTCCAAATTCCAAACAATCTCTATCTATAAAAGGCAGGATGTGTGTATGTGTGTGTGTGTGTAACAAATGCACGACCGCAATTTTTGACGGATTTGCACCAAAATTTACATGCACATGCTGCAAGTTAGCGGGAAGGCCAAGACCAACTTTGCATTTCTCAACTCCCATCGATAGTGGAAATAATCGATTTTTTTCATGCTTCTATGGCAGTTTTCATGTAGTTTGTGGCCATTTTCTACTGGCCAGAGTGAGAGCGAATGGGCAGGAAGATTCTATTGGTCAGCAGCTGACTGACATAAATGTTAACTAGCATGCTAGCATCCCAAAAAAATCGATAGCTGCATTCGTCACATGTGGGAAGTCCTTTCTTAAAGCTGATCGTTTTGTGTTCAATTTGTTAGAGTTCTTTTTTCATAACAGATTTAATGTTTAGTATAGAGCTTAGAAAAAATTTGCAGTGTGAGATAGGCAAGAAGTAAGGCATGTAGCAACATCAGCACGGCAAAGGGCACTCCTTTAAAGGCAAGGAAGGGCAAAAGTATTTTAAGTCAAGTGATAGCGATTGCTGTATGAATCGAACGATTTTTGAATCAAGCACGGGCCTTGTTGCTAGTAATAAAATAAAAATAAAGAAAACATGCGTATGCCTGTTAAATGAATCCTTTGTATTTATAAACATATGTGAATGAATTTAAGAGTCAAAAAGGAGTAAAAATAATCTTTAGTTGATTTAAAATCTTTTGGTAGTTGGTCCACAGAAAATTTATATATATATATATATATATATACAAAAGATTGTTATGTTTTATATATATATATATATATATATATAGATTATGTTTAATATATATATATATATATATATATATATATATAAAAGATTGTTATGTTTAATATATATATATATATATATATATATATATATATATATTGTTATTTTATATTTATATATATATATATATATATATATATATATATATATAAAAAAGATTGTTATGTTTAATATATATATATATATATATATATATATATATATATATAAAAGATTGTTATGTTTATATATATATATATATATATATATATATATATTGTTATAAAATATATATATATATATATATATATATATATATAAAAATTGTTATGTTTAATATATATATATATAAAATTGTTATGTTTAATATATATATATATATATATATATATTGTTATGTTTAATATATATATATATATATATATATATATATAAGATTGTTATGTTTAATATATATATATATATATATATATATATATATATAAGTTTATGTTTAATATATATATATATATATATATATATATACAAAAAGATTGTTATGTTTAATATATATATATATATATATATATATATATAAAAAAAGATTGTTACTATGTTTTATATATATATATATATATATATATTAAACATAGTATATTTAGGTAGAAGTCTGACATGTTTTATTGACCAGAATGGGCAAGGTTTGCCTGTTAAGCCCTTTCAGATGTCTTTTCTGGTGCTGCATAAGTTGTTTGATGTCAGGTGGAAATTGTAAAGGAACTTTCTAAAATTGAACTTTGAAAGTTTTTTTTTTTTTTTTGACCATCATTGTTCATTTTCAAGGAAAGAAGATAGGAAAGTGGAGCATTTATGTTAATTGATGGAGTTTGAAAGGAAACATCAATTAATCTACTGTGGTGGTTTAGGTTGGTTGTTTTTTATGCTTTATCAACCTTTTGCAGATTATTTGAAACCAGAAAATATTCGTACATTGTAAGAATTTTATGGCGTTAATAATGATTTACTAAGTCCAATAATTAATCCATAGCTGGCAGGGAGAATAGATGAATTCATACCTTTCCCAAGGGTATTTGTGCGTAATTGAATGTAAGAAACCCTACTGGAATTGGAACTTGGCTCTCTGATTTCATACCCCAAGCCATTATCCTTACACCATCCATATATCCAAGTTTGCATTACCTGGTGTTCCCAAGCAGTCACCTATCTAGCTACTAACCAGGCTTGATGTTGCTTAATTTCGATGATTCTATGAGAACCAGTGTTTCAGCATGATATGGCCCATAAACTGCTATGGTGGTGAAATAGATTTTTGCATCACATCATGTAAGGGGGTACTGAAATGTTCTTTGCCAACACCACTTAAAATCTGAACAAATGATCAAGTATCAGATTTTTTTGGTTTTGAATCCCTTTTTAGTTAGGCCAAGAATTTTTATGCTTATCATCCTATATATTTGTGTGTATATGTACATATACATCTATATATGTTTGTGAATATGTGTGTGGGTGTCCCCTGCCATTTTATTCTAGATGTTGATAGAATCTGTCAATTGTCTGATATGAATTCAACGAAGGATTTGGTATGAAAACTACAAAAGGACAGAATAAAAAGATATCACTGAATCATTAAACATTTGCAAAAATTGGAGGAAGTCTCTTTTCTAACAGTGGAGGCAAGAGAGAAAAATATGGTTAATTATGCACATACACTAGCTCAATATATGCATAAATACTTCCTACCAGAAAACACATTATATTTAATAAGTTTTCTCAAGTATGCAGGCTGGTAGATGAAATAAATAAAATGAAGTGTCTACACAAATATGGGTATCCATTAAAAGTAATGCTATAAGTAATAAAAATATGTTGGAGTAAAAAATAAAATCCATTAATTATTTAGAAATTACTTAGTTTACATTCTGGATATGATTCAGACTTTCCCAAAATGGCGTATAAGTGAGTGTGCAAAAGTTAAAGGCAAATATAAGCTTCTTTGATAGTGAGGCTCTTTGTAGCTGAGTTGTTAAAACATGACAGTGTTTTTTCCTGCAAAGAAGGATGCAGGTTTGAATCCTGTTGGAGAGAGCAAATTTTCTTTAACAAGTTTCTTGAGTGCAAATTTCTTTCATAAAGAAGAAAAAAAATTATAGAAAACATATATTTCTTCTTTATAGAAGAAATATATGATTTATTTATGGAAATCATATTTCTTCAAAAAAGAAATGTATTGTTTATTTAGAGAATCATATATAAATATATGGTGTTTGTAAATTAATTCAATTTGACTATCAAACCTTCTGACAAGTGGATATCATAATTGTGAAACTCCATTATGAAAAATAAGTTTAATATTTCATTTTACTTGTTACTATATATATATATATATATATATATATATATATATAATGTCTCACTTTTCACAATGCATACATACTACACTTTCATACTAGGAAGAAGTACTATTAAGTGACACTTTAATTCTAAGAATGGTATACAAACAAGCTAATCCTAAGTGCTGATCAATATGTCAAAATAATTTTTGAAATGTACTAGTATAATTCAGATATGCAAAGCAAATGTTAATTTTTTTATTCTAATTTTGCAGTCATAATTTTTACTTACTCCAAAAGTCATGAAATCTTTAAATTTTTAATATACATGTTACCAGAAAATAATCTAGTTGGAATATTATTTAAGAATTTCAGATAAATTTCATTTATATATATATATATATATATATATATATATGGAAAAACAGTACTTAAATTTCACTGCTGTCTGTGACTAAAAGTTTGATGTCGACTTAAAAGGTGATTAATGTTACTAATGCACGATCTTTAGGCAGTAAAAAAAAAATATAATTCTCATTTAAAAAAAATTATCAGTATTATATTGCTTTTTTTCCACTGGGGTCATTGCACCACAGTAATATTAACCATCTTTATTTTATGTCCATGTGAAACTTTTGGTTGTGGACAGCAGTGAAATTTAAGTACTGTTTTTCGATATTTATGTTTTCTCTGTTTTTTGTATATATTTTTTATATACCTTTTTTTTTTTTTTTTTTTATTACTTAAACGTTTTTAGTGGATACCCATGTTTGAGGATTGGTTTGTTTTGTTTTACGGCATATCAACCTCAATGGGTCATTTAATGCCGACAACTTTTTTTTTTTTCTTGTAATATTTTTTGCTTTGTCAAAAATCCATTTTTGTCAATATTTTTTCCACAAAAATGTATAGCTGGTAATATTATTTTTTCAAAAACGTATACTAGTAATATTTTTTTTTTTTTCAAAAACGTATAGATGGTAATATTATTTTTTCAAAAACATAGCTAGCAACATTATTTTTTCAAAAACATATTATCAGAGGCCTTGCTGTTGGACGCAGTTTATCGTCATACCCAGGATGTGGATGTAGTCTGTGTGTTAACTATTTGCCCATAGCTGGGACCCTAACAGGTGCTACCACCCTGGGTCAGGGTGGACCTGGAAACACCAGCAATTAAGATGTGATTCCACACTCCTCAAAACCTCCTGATTAGAGGCCTTGCTGTTGGATGCGGATGTAGTTTATCATCATACCCAGGACACCATGTTTGAGGAGATAAATTCCATTTTTATATATATATATATATATTTTACATCAAAAACCAAGAATTACTTCAACATAGATATAGTCTATTTCAAGTCGTTCTGTATCAGTTTTAATAATTAATATTACTAGGATCCACCCAGATTATATACCAACAGATTGATTACCTTTACTATATATATATATATATACAAACACAATTTTTCTTTGGGGTTTTAGCCTGTTTTTGCCTGTTTTTTTACTTTTAATTTCTTCATTACTAAAGATAATCCCAAAACATATCTTAATATAAAATCTGCTTTCTATATTTTAAATATCAGTATTTTTTCTTTCTTATTTACAAGTATATTTTCATTTTTTATAAAGCTTATTTTACATTTTTCAGTGCTGTCTAGATTGTCATGTAAGTTTGTAAAGGGCTTGTCAAATACATGAAAAGCTGATATTAATAAATATATTAATTCTATGAATTATCTTTGTCATGTGAGAAAGTTTCCCCAGGGAAGCTTCTTCAAGCCTTTAATAATGAAAGAAGTAAAAACCTTGGCAATAATTTTGCAGAATAAAAAAAAAATGAAATGAAATATATACATATTTTTTATTTTACTAATTGTTCACCCAATACAAGGTCTATGAGCAATTCAAGGTAGATGGTTACTGATTCAGGTTGCTATATCAAAGAAGAGGAGGTAAGAAGTACAGTTTAAGAGGATATGTAAGAAAGATATTGGTTATATATATATATATATATATATATGTTATGGGACCTTACCCATAATAACATAATGGACTATTCCATACGTAATAAATACTGCGCCTCAAGAGGAAGTAGGGAGTGAAGTCCGTCAGGAGTCTGTCAGTTGAGTCAGAGGCAGTCCGAAACAGTCGCGTTCAGACAATTACTACTAAACCTGATTATTCGTATTAACACTTTCTACTTCTCTGTATATATTTTTGTTTGTAATATATCTGTGTTATTCCACATCCGTGTTCGAGTTCTTCTTTATTGGTTTTACCTTGGACTATCACCATGGTACAAGGAACCGGACCATAACAATATATATATATATATATATATATATAAGACAAAAAGGAAAATTATTTTAGCTGATGACATTTGTCTTGATAAAGTCCATCAGAGGATGAAACATGTTGGCTAAGATAAGTTTTCCTTCTGTATTTTTACAGTTATATTTTTTAGTTATATGTATGCGTAAAAATAAGCATATATATATTCTGTTTATACATTATTTTTATAGTTATTTTTAGTCCCTTTCATAATATATGTATATGCTTATTTTTTATGCGTGCATATCCATGAACTTTCTAGGACACATAATGGGGAAAGAAGGCTTTGAAAATTTAATACAGGACAGATGAAAGGCAAGATGGACAGAGGAAGACAACATAACCGACCTAGTGAATTTGTGTAAAGGGATGACAGAAAAGGGTTTAGGGGAGATAACACAATGACAAAATTTATTAAGAGCTACACAGAACAAGAAATTGTAGAAACCCATGGTCACCAATATAATGAAAGGACATGGAACATAGAAGAAGAATAAGATCTCCTTCCTAACTTATTATTGCTCAAGTTTTTCACTGGATAGTTACCTGGTTCTCTTATAGCTGCCTATACATGTAAGTCCTTCTTGATAAGGCTCTAGTGTGGTTAACTAGAAAGTAATCTCAGTCATTAGATTGCAAGAACCTATATATAAGCTATAAAAGGATGGTATCACATTCAAATGAAATAGTTCTTTCATCATTTATTTATATTATAATGTTATTATTATCATCATTATTTGTTATCATAACACAGCAAGAACAGTATATGATAGGGCAGTTTTTGTTAGAGCAATTTTACCCTAACTTGAAGAAGAAAATCATTTCAAGTCCAATGGAACACATGATTTTTGAATCATTTTTAATTAATTATAAACTATCAAAAATAAAAAACCAGTAGTGATAACCAGGTTTATGGCTGATGAAAAAGAGTGCATACAAGTCAAGGATTCTTCCCTGCTTCTATTTTTAATTTTCTTATAAAAAACATTACAGATAACTTCAGGTTTATTTATTACAAATTATAAAGTTTTTTTCTGATATTTTTTAAACTATCAGAAAAAAAAAAACTTTGTAGAGGTATAATTATAAAATATTATATAAGTATAAAAATTATAATTATATCATATTATAAAATTATATTTTAAAATTGTAAAATTATATAATTATATTATGTAATTATAAAATTATAAAATATTATATAATTATAAAAATATTATAAAAGAAAAAACAGAACTTCAGATTTATTTATAACTAATTATAAAGTTTTTTTCTGGTAGTTTTTTCTGATAGTTTTAAAAAAATATAAAAAAAACCCCCCAAAAACTAATTTGTAATGAATAAACCTGAAAGTTATCTCTACTGGTTTTTATAAGAAAATAAAAGGTAGAAGCAAGGAAGAATCCTTGACCTGTAAGCACTTTTCTTTTCACCAGCCATAGTGGCACACCAGTAATATAGGGTGACCAAAAAAAACGGGAACTTTTTAACAAAGTTAAAATAATTGAAACCTTAAAACATGCCATTTAAGAAACAATAATGGAATTTTCATTTTTTAAAAATTACGTCCTGTAGATGGCGTCCTCCTGTACGAATGCATTCTTGAAATCTGCTGTTG